CAATTGTGTGAGTCTTAAAACCCTCCCTCTTCTCTGACAGCTTGGCTTTAGCCTTCACCTTCTCCTTGCTCACTTCTCCCTGGTGAAGCACTAAATCTGCTTTGTTTTGCACCATATTAACCGCGCGTGTAATTGCTGTGGCCCCAAAGAAGCGGTCAGCTCCATTGCGTTTCCCACCGCAGCCCTCAGGGATCGATAAGAAGGCTTAGGGCTCTTCTCGTTCCATCCTCAAGCTGTAAGCGGGTCAGGCAAGGTCTCCCTGTGGGGACAGTGCTGTCCCTGAGGGTCTGTGCCCTCACTAGGCCAGGCCCTCAGCTTGCCACAGATGTGCTTGTGGGCCTGGTTGTATGGGGAGGAGGTCAGAGGCCCACTGTATTTTCCAACCCAGCCATTTCCAGGGAGCCCTAAAGGTTCGCTGTGATCTCCATGGCGCTGCTGTTCTTTATGTATGTATAGCTTTGGCCAGAATCCTGGAGAGTCAGAGTTAGGTGGTAGGACTAAAACCCAGCCCCACTCCAATCTCCTAACAGTTTCCACCCCTCACCTCCACCTCCTTATAGATCCACCCTCTGCAATCTGGTTTCCACCCACAGGACGCCCCAGCCACTCTGGCAGAATTCACCAGTGTCTTTCTAATTGTCAAATTCAACAGCATATGTCAATTTTATAATGGTTTGGTTTTTTCTTTACATCTTGAAAATCTTGAATTTTTAAAAAGTAACATGTAAAGTCTTTACATCTTGAAGTATTTTTGGCCCTTGTTTTAGTCTTCCTGTTCTGATACTTCAGACCGATTTCCCTTTGCAAGTCCTCACGGAGTCATTTCTCCCATAGGAAACACTCTTTCTTAAATTTACTTTCACTTCTCTGACCACTTCTTCCCACCTTCCCTCACTAAATCTTTTAATGATACCATTCTTTTAGGTTCGGATCTTGACCCTCTTCTATCTTCTGTCGTTACCTCCACCACTAGGTCAACTTTCAAATCTACACATCCAGCTCAGGTCTGTTCCTTGGCTACCGCGTCCATAGATCTTTCCACCTGTTCAACTCCATCTGGATAACTGATGGGCATCCAGAGCTCTGCATATTCAGAATTAAAACAATCATTACAGCATGACAGCAGGAGGAGCTCTGTTCATCTGTTGTCCCCCAGTGAAACTGGGAAAAAATATTCTTAAAAAACAACTATTTAAAGCCTTTGGATATATCTATCCAAAGGCTTTAAATAAATGAAAATATACATGCACACAGAAATTTGTTTACAAATGTTTATAGCCATTTGTATTATTATTTATAATAGTAAAATGGTGAAAACAAACCAAATGGCCATCAGTGAGCAAAAAGATAAACAAAATCTGGTATATTCATACAAGGGACTATTATTTATCCATAAAAAAATCTTATTTATTTTACTCCTTTAATAGTGCAAGAATTAACAATATATCTATTTTTCCTCTACACACATATATGTATAATTGTTTGGAGTAACAATATGTAATAGTTTTATAACTTGCACAAATTACAACTCATAAAATGAGAAATGTTGGGACTAATTTAATTTGAGAGATTTGACCTATAATTAATTTTGATAAAGGAGAATATTGTGAAGGCAAAGAATTTTACTAATATAGGGCAGTGCTGTCCACCATAAATGAATTGTGTTTGATGATCAGACCTAATGACAATAACTGTTAAAAGACAGCTATTTTATAATGAGAATTATTGTTGTCGACTTGTTTGGAAGGTGAAGTGTACAATGTTCAGTCGGCTGGAAAAGATAATTTGGCAAAACAGATGGTAGCCCCAGAAAGTTCAAATTCCTCTTCATTAAGTAGCCTTAGGAACAATAGTGGGGGAGATCGGCCGCATCATGTGCCACAGCTCATCCTGTAGTAACAGAAACGGTCCCGCCTGCGAGCATGAACACTCTCACTGTAGCTAAGCCACGTGGCGTAGCCACTGCAGACTCCAAGTTGGCCAGGTCAGTATAGAAACAAAGGGATTTAGGTGATCTGGAAAAGCCCCTCAGGCACAAGGTAACATGAGGCATCCCCCCCCTACTCTAGAGACAACCTGTCACGGAAACACAATGCTTCGGTTCATCCACCAAGACCCTTTCCCCTTACGGAGAAAGGCTTTGGCTTTGTTTTTGTTTTTTTAGGACTCCATCTTTCTGTGTGGCAACCTATAGTGTTTATTCATACATAAGACAGCATGCAATTGAACTGATGCCGTTTCAGTCTGAAAATGACAACTAATTGGGATTAGTGCAGCATCATGTTTCCTGCATCTGATTAATCTGCAGCTTGCTTTGGTTACAAAGCAGACATGTGGGTCTGGTACCAGGAGACTTCAGTATTGTGTGTTTCCTCAATCCCTAATATGTGCAAGAAAATGCACTTCACTGTGTATTCAAATATGTGACCTGACCTGCACCCTTATCAAAACCTTGACACGTTATTTACTTTTTATAAAACAAAGAAAATGAATGTGTTAAAATAACTGTAGCTATGTATTTGCAAAGACGATTGGTATTTAGATCCCTATTGCTTAATTAATAGCCAACTCCACTAAAAAAAGCCCTTGTTAAGGGCTTACCCAAGCATCTAATATCTGCATATGATTTTCAATCACCAGTTTGGCTTTATCCATAGTAGAATTTTCTCAGCCTAAGGAAGCCATACCACCGGTTATCAGAAAAGATGAATCACTACACCAGGATGAACAATTCATACAATGAAGAAGAACTGGTCGAACACCACATGACTGAAATGGGTGACCTATTCCAAGAGAAAATATTCTCTAGCCTCTGCCCCCCTCAAAAATTTTTCTAGACTAATATTGCAGGAGAAAAGAAAGCGAGACGAAACAAATCAATCTTTCGCCAAGATGTGATTGAATGTAACAAAAGGCAGCAAATAAGCAGGATTGAAAGCATGAAATACATCCAATCCACTTAGAATCGATTTATCTTCAAAACAGAATCAGCAGCTAAAAGAGAGATGTACCACTTTTGTTATATTTCTCTGGCTCTACATAACCCAGGATGCGCAGTTCACCAATACAAATGGAATTCTGGAATTGGCTATTTTATAATGAAATGTCTGTGCCCATGATCAGGCAGGGTATAAACTGATCCACTGTGTCCGCGTGCGTGTGTTAAAGCAGAATATTGGTCTCAGTTTTCCATGTGAGACCCCCTGGCCCTGGAAGGTGTTTTGAGGTTTCCTGTTACCCTTTGAGTCTAACACCCAGTCCATAGTTTCCCAAACTTGGTGCCCCACGGAACACTTTTTAGCAAGAAAATTATGAATAATAATGTTTAGTGCTCAAATAAGTTTGGGAAGCTATTAAACAAAGGTAAAGAGTTTTCCTTAAGATTTCCCAAAGGCATTAAGATGCTGTTGTCTGTTGTAAATTATTCACAGCTCACATTATGTTCTCTTTCATTTCGAACACTGTTTAACTCTGGCATTCCCTTTAATACCTGTCAAACACTCGGTGGAACACAGTCGGGGACATTTGACTTACAGTAAACTCTGGGTTCCTCAGACCCTTTATCCAAATCCCACCCCTTGTCTTAGCCCTTGAGATTGTGTTATTCAGGGGGCAAAAGGTGCAGCTTACCCACCCTGAGACCTTCCATGCCTACGGAAAGAGGCAGACCCTGAACAATCTTACTGTAGGATACCCTTCACAAGTGGAGCCCAGAGGCCGAATCCCTAAACGAGAAAATTTAGACATAAAAGAAAACTCCAACAGAAACAGGGTCCCCTCATTGAATTTCTACTCCCCACCAAAATTTTGATATTACTTTGAGCAAAACACAAGTGATTTTAGTATTAATGAAAGCCTAACACTGGCATTTATTTAAGCCTCAATGTGTATTTTGTGGCCTTCCTGCATTGGGAAAACTGGGATAATCTTCATTTTAAACTAGTTCTCTGGGGGATTTTTTGCTTAGTATACAGTTTGAGAACCGCCAGTTTAGATATTTCCTCCATCATCAGGGTGAACACAAAATCAGTTAGGAGAAAGAACCAATTTTATTGCAACTAATAGAGTAGGGCATATTAAAATACAGAATTATAAAAAGGTTCTGTAAATACAGAGGCAGGTCAAATTCCTACCCTCTTTGTCAATTGTTGCTTTACGTAGTTGCCTTCCTGGAGTTAAATAACATGTTCTGATTATTTCCAAGTGAAAAGGAATCTCAAGCAAAAAGAAAGCATAAATGTTCACTTCTTTCTAGAAAAAAATCACTGCAGTTATCTAAGGGCATAACATTTTCAAATATATTAAAGTTGCCCATGATGATTAATTTCATGCCAGCTAATTGTCATATGTTTAGCAAACAGCCACATACTGCAGCCAAGGAGCAAAGTACTCGAATCCACTTTAGTTCCCACACAGAAGCCCAGTACACTCAGCCCTCCAGTCACCACTCAGGAACTCTTGGTTCAGCCCGTGCCTCTGGTCCCAATTTGTAAGTTGAATATAATGCTTAACTGGAGAGACATCTCTTTTTGATGGAGATATCTTTGCCAGATTGAAGTTACATTCTAAATGCAAGCAAAAACACAAGGGAAATTATATTAAGAAAATAACCACAAAACTTCAAATGCATGACCTAGAGGATTTAAGCAAAGAGGAAATTCCTTGCCCTGCTGTTTTCTGTGGAGCTAAGCAATTGTGCTACTGGTTGTCTTATTTGGTAACCAATACATTTTATTGTTTAATTTAATTTTTGAGATAATGAATACATTTCATTTTTTTAATTTTATTTATATAGTTTTGGTAACCAATACATTTTAAAGACCAGTTCTTAGGCCCAAGGTGTCTGCACGTGTTAGCCAGTTAAGTTTTATAACTGAGAAGCGTAATAGAAATGATTTTTTCAAGGCTTCATGAAGACAATATGAACTAAAGAAATTCTTACAGACATCTCAAGTTGGAAAAACTTGGTTCCTCAAAGTTGTTAATATTTCTTTTCCCAGGGCCCTGTTCCTGACTCCCCTGCTCCCAGTGGCCTGATTCCTTTGGCAGCCTGGGTTTCCAGCTCCTGAGAACCGTGAAAAACCAGAACTGTGTTTCAGAAATACCTTCGTTTGTGGTGAGTTGCTTTCTGCCCATTGTCACCGTGCTCCCGCAATTCCTACAGGGCCTGTTTGTTTGCTTGTTGTCGTCTAATCTGGATTCTAGACCCTGCGCATCTGCTACCTCTTTGTCTTTTGGGTTTCTGTGCCCAGTCCCCCCAGTCCCCCGCCTTTAACACTTGACACACAGGCTTCAGCCTCAGGCACCCGACCCTGGGCTCCACCCGGAGGCCTCGTGGCTCCTCTGACGCCTGACCCACTGCGGTCAAGTGGACGTTTCCACCTGATTCTAATGGACGTTGGACTCACAGTTCCTTGGCTGAAGGATCCGCTGCCGAGAAAGGGTAGTTAGGCAGCCTTACCCCCGACGATTCCCCGAGTTTAACGTGGGAGTTTTTATACCTTTCTCCTAAGGCAGTTTTGAGCACTGAGGGAGCTGACGCATGGGGAGTACTCAGAGCCTACGCACGTGTAGCTCCTCTCACTGAACAAGAACTGAAGAACCGAAGCTCGTTTTTTTCCATATTGTTTCTCCTATAGTGCTTTGACATGTAAATTTTTAAAAATTTGCCCCATGTAATATTTCATCCCCTCTTCCTGAAATAAATACAGCACCAAATTAATTTTTTAAATCTCTAGGGTAGGAATTCTGCGCCCTCCTCATTTGAAAGCCTCCTTGCTAGCACCAGGCCGGGCATGATAGTAGGTGGACAATAAATAATTACTGAAGGGAATAAAAGTGAATGGGGCGTCCATGGCAGCTGCCAGCAGCCTGTTAAGTGTTATTGCCGACAGGATGTCTTCCATGAATTAATGATTCCTAGCAGCAGGTGGCCAGCCAGGCTCCCTAAAAGGGGAAGCCAGCAGGAGGAGAGGGGGTTTTAGCAGGAGAGCTTTGAGTTGCCACAGCGAATCCAGAAGCCTCCTTTCTCACTTCCCCAGGGAGGCAGCTGGCGCCGCAGCTTCATCCCAACTGCTGGGGATGGTGGCTGCAGGCGGGTGGGATGTTCCTGGCCCACCTCCCTCCCACGCTGCCTCCAGGGGCTAATGACCTCACAGGTTCATGGGCACCTAGACTAACCTTCATAGGTAAGATGTTTGCATTTTAAAAGTTCCATCTCCGATTTTTAAAAAAATTAAAGTGAATGAAAAACTATGAACAAAATAAACTGATGAATAGATCCAGAGACATAGAAGCATGGAACTGGCTGACAAATCTCAGAGGGAAGGGGGGGTGGGTAGGTGGGGAGAGATTAAGCAAAGAACTTAGAAGCATGTATGCATAACCCAGGGACACAGACAATGATAGGGGGAAGGCCTGAGGGTGGGGTGGATGCGGGGTGGAGGGGATCAGTGGGGGAAAAACAGAGACATCTGTAATACTTTCAACAATAAAGATAAACTTATAAAACAAAAACAAACAAAAGCCAAAGCTAGCAATTCATTTTTTCCTCTGTTTTCCGATGCAAACGTATTATTTCCCTGGGTGCCACATAGCCAAGTTGCTACAGTGAGGAGTGCAGTGGGCATTCAGGGAGGGCAAATAAATTAATTATGAATGAAAAAAATCCATCTATATTTCAAAAATATTATCCTGCTGCAGCACCAGATGCATAAAACTTTGCATGCTCTTTGTATTTAGTAATTTTACTTCTGGAAAGCACTTTTCAGAAATTAGTCATGAGTGGGAACTATCTTAGCTGAAGGGTGTTCATTGCAGATTGTCCTTGAGAATAAAAATTGTGAGCAATCTAAATGTCCAACAAAGGATAATTAGTTAAATAACTATAGTACAATCTCTCAATGAAACATTATTCAATCATAAAAATAATGTAAAAATATAGGACATGGAATGATATTCACAATATACAGTTAAGTTGAAAAAAATAGAATTATGCATGATTATATATTATAAAAAATAATATATACATATTGACCCGAGGCTTGGAATATACATTTATGTAAGTATATGAGTTATTATATATTTATATATAGATCTCAAGTTTAGATCTCTCTCCTAAACTCATCTGTGTATCTAGTTGTCTACCAGGTATATTTCTACTATAAAACCTCATAGCACTTCAAAATCAACATGTCCCAAACTGAGTACATCTTGTTTCTTTCCAAACTCATTCCTTTCTTTGGGCTCCTTATCTCAATTAATGACACCACTGTCCACCTAGGCATTCAAGGCAGACATCTGCTGGTCCTTGGGCCCTCCATCTGCCTCTCATATTCATGTCAACAAATACTTATTCATCACCTGCTCTATGCCAGAAACTTGCCAGGTCCTGGACACTCCATATGAATGAAAAGGAGAGACAATACCTGTATTCATGGAGTTTCCTGTCTAGTGGGAATGGACATTATGTCACTTTGGATGAATAAAATGTACCTATTTTGATAGTTCTGTGCAGGAATAAAATAGATGCTCCTGACAAAAGGACAATGGGAGCCATTGTATATAGGGTGATCACGAAAGTCTCTGAGAAGGTGACGTTGAGACCTGAATTTTCAGCCATGAGAAAGGCAATGTAACATGGAGAAATTATTGGTAAGGGAAAGAGAAACAGATTACAGAATGAAATTGAGTTTACCTTCCAAACATTTCCTGAATCTGTCGTCTTCTCTCCATCCTCACAACCTCAGCTACTTTCTAGACCACTGTTAATCTCTTGCCTGAATTATTCAAACATTTCTAAAGTGGCATCCCTGTTTGGGGTTTCTCCCCATCCCATCCATCCCCTACACTGTAGCCAAAATTATTCTTTTTGAAACAAATCAGATCATGTCATTCCCATACTTAAAGTCCTTCAAAGCACACCTTTACTCTTAGAACCAAGACCAAGTCCACCCTGCGTTTATGAGGCTCTGCCAGATCTGGCCCCAGCATTCTTCACTAGCCCAACCCTTTTCCAGTAACCACCCTCCATTCTACACTTTAGCCATATGGAACTTCTTTCACTTAGAGCCTTTGCCAATGCTGTTCCCTCTGCCTGAAACACTCTTCCATCCACCCTACCCCCTTATACCTGATTAAATCTTTTATATCCTTCAGGTCTTGCTGAAGACATTATTTCACCTGCTAGCCTGTATTGTAATCTCCTGTTTGTCGTCCAGATCTGCAGACTATAAATTCCACAACGCGGGGACTTTCCTTTCCCTGCTATATCTTGAAGACCTAGAATAAGTTCTAATGTACAATAAGTGCCCAATAAAGATGTAGTAAATTAATGAATATATGAATGAATGAGCAACCAAAAATATTTATGATTTGATGATGAAAATGTGGGTGGCTTTTGCTTCTTTTTGAAATTCTTGGTGTTCTGAATCTATGAAGAACCCGCATTACTATTCCACTAAGGAAACAATACATGCTTCAGGCGGGCCGTCAATTACTAATGTGGAGCTGGCTAAGGCTTCCCAGACTATACCAGGACTTTAGGCTGAGCTGAGTCTAGGAGCAGGCTCAAAATTCAAGGTCAGGGTCCCGTGCAGGGTGCTGCGTCACCTATGTCAGTGCTGAAGTGGATGAGGCTGGGGTGGGAGAGTCCAATGGTGGGGAGGCAGCCTTTAGGGAGAGACTTAACCCACAGCCAGAGCAGGCCATCTGACTCTATCAGCCTCCCATGGGGACAGGGCAGACAGACTACATCCAGTTGTCAGGCAACCAGATTCCTAAAATCCACGGAAGGGAATGTGACATGAAGAGGCAAGTGGGAGAAGAAACCTGGAAAACGTTTCTGAGGCAAAGAAAAATCACAGCTAATTTCTTATGGGGGATTTATATCCTTAGCATGGATGCAGAGAAACTTTTAATACTATTGACAGCAGGAGGATTATTTTATAGCTCAAAGACCACTGGAGTGGTTGTCACAAGGCCAGTATTTAGGCTACTTGCTTTCTGTGTGACCCTAAGAGAGAAACTGGTCTTCTGGGCCTTGGTTTCCATCTTTGTAAAACTAAAGAATTAGCCTAGATGATCTCTTCAGGGTTTTATTTTTTATTTTTTCCAACTAAAACATTCTGTGTTCTTTCATTCTGGGCTGAATGCCCAAGATGTTCAACAAAATAAATTTGTTTTGAAGAGATACAGGAGGGAAGTGATTCACCTGTACTTATTTCTGAAGCACAGAGTGAGTTTTCGGACTTTCAGATACTACCTTGACACATGTTTGATAGTTTCCGAGTAAACTGCTTTATATGTGATGAAACATACTAAGTTTAGATGGACTATGGTTTAAAAGTCATAGGCATCTGATACATTTACACCCATAGAAAACATTAGAAGGATTTCATCTACTGCTAATGTTCGGTGCTAGAAATGTTTGAAAGTCAAACACGAGTCATTTATTTTATGACTCATTTCTAACAACTTGGGGGAAAATTCATTTAGTAACCCTGTGTCAGTGCTATGAAAAGAAGCAACGTGATGGAGGAAATATTGAAATTCTCTCTACAGAGCATTGAGAAAACCACATCTGAAAAAATATTCTGGACATAGTCGACATTAGCCCTTTACTCTCCAAGTCTCGTTGTCCTTGAATTAAACCCACTGTGACGTGTCCCCTGCTCTGACTTGGTTGGAGGCAGGAGGCAGAGGTTAGTGTTTATTCCACCTTAGGACCATCTGGTGCAAGCCTTGCTCTGACGCTGGTGACCTGGAGGCACCTGCTCCAACACCTGGGATATTGAAGTTGCTTTAACCTGGGTGTATAATATTCAAGTCCCCCTCCCTGGAACTTCCCTGACTGATATCTCTGCCTTGGATATTCTTTCCTGACTGTAATTTTCAGCATCCTTGGGGTCACAAGGAGAAATTGTGCACAGATGACCTTCAGTGGTGCCTGTGTTGGGCAGAAACTCTCCCCATAGGGTCCCCTGGGCAGCAATGTGACCTTGCCCCCGGGGCATGCAAGGCTTAGCTGTACAATAGCCACCTGAGTTCGAGAATAATAACAGGGCTGCTCATGAAAACAACTGCTCTCTTTGCTCCTCCCCCTTCTTTTCCTATTAA